TGGCGGTTGAAAAATGATCCCCGCTTGTTGATGCTGTTGCTGTTGCTGTTGTTGCTGTTGCTGAAATTGCTGTGGCTGTTGATGCTGTTGTTGTTGTTGCTGTTGCTGAGCAGGGGAACGCCCGAAGATGTAAAAGGGATGTTGCTGCTGCTGTGACTGCGACTGATGCGCAAAAGGTGAGAAAGCAAACGAACCAGTACTTGGAGCTGTGGCTCCACGCATGGATGCTTACTGAGAAACCACGAGTACTTAACCAAGGATGCTTACTGAGAAACTCAGCACTCGGGCATGGATGCTTACTGAGAAACTCGATACTGCTAACTACACCAAAAACAGAACTTGCAGGAATGCAAAACTTCATTTATCACAACAGCTTTAGAGGTTCCATGTCGGGCAGTTGAGGTTGCTTCTAAGGTTCCATGTCCGACTGTTGAGGTTGCTTCTGAGGTTCCATGTTGGGCTGGTGAGGTTGCTTCTGAGGTTCCATGTCGGGCAGTTGAGGTTGCGTCGGAGGTTCTATGTCAGGCTGTTCAGGATGCTTCTGAGGTTCCATGTCGGCAGTTGAGGATGCTTGTGAGGTTCGATGTCGGGCAGTTGAGGTTGCTTCTGAGGTTCCATGTCAGACTGTTGAGGTTGCTTCTAAGGTTCCATGTCGGGCTGTTGAGGATGCTTCTGAGGTTCCATGTTGGGCTGATGAGGTTGCTTCTGAGGTTCCATGTTGGGCTGTTGAGGTTGCTTCTGAGGTTCCATGTTGGGCTGTTGAGGCTTGAAATCTTGAGCTCTTGGCCTTGGATCTGCAAGATAAATTCTTCTTGAGTTGATGGGGGCTTGCTGCACACACCTGCGACACGATGGACACTTCACACTCGACAAAATAGAAAAAGCACATGCGACACACAAACGACGACTTGACATGGGAGTTGTAAAAACTCGCTAATGTCTTGACCGACACAAACCACATTGTGATACACCATTCAAACACACACACAAGCACTAGATAGCAATGACATAGACTCACAATTCATTCCATGCCATGCATGCACTCACACAAACAAGGACGACAAGCCGAGTGCAAGCCATAGGGTTGCACCAACAAACTCCCCCTCGGATTGTTGGCCTTAGAATCTGCTCCCCTTAGTTCAGAGCCATCCCAGCAAGCTTGCAACACTTCCAATGCTGCTGCTCAACCAGCCTCTTGGTCATCATATCAGCAGGCTGCGCCGTCGTCTTCACGTAGTGCAACTCCACTTTACCCGCGGTTACCATGCTCCTCACCCAATCCCACTTCTCCTTCATGTGCTTGGTAAGGCCATGAAGAACGGGGTTCTTAGCCAATGCAATAGCACCCTGGCTATCACAGTAGAGTGGGGTAGGTCCTTGCTGCTCCTCCCCCAATTCAGCTAGCAAACGCCGCTGCCACACAACCTCTCTTATGGCACGGAAGAGTGCCATGTACTCGGACTCCACCGAGCTCAATGCTTGGTCCACTTGTTTCTTGCTCTCCCAAGCTGTTGGGCCTTCACCAACACAGCAGTTGAAGCCTCCCACACTTGTCATGTCCTCTGGTTCTGATGCCCAAGATGCATCAGAGAAGGCGGTGAGAAAGAGCCTCCCGGGTTCGACTCCATCCGCACCCTTTTGACGCCCTTGTGCCACCGCGGAGTATTGCAGTCCAACAGTTGCTGTTTGGCCAAGGTACTTGGCCACCCTCTCTCCAGCTGCTACCTGCTCTTCATTAGGGCATTGGATAGCCCTAGCCAGCTGCCCAGTAGCAAAGCCTGCATCCGGCCTTGTGTGAACGGCCGCATACATGAGGCTGCCCACCAAGGAGTGAAAACACCGCCTCTCCTCTTCACCAACACTTTCCTCCGCTGGTCCTTTCACACAATTGAACCCTGAGGGAAGAGGAGTAGCCACATGACCTTCACTCTTCCCAAAGTTTGCAGCCAAGGCTTCCAAGTACTTCTTTTGATGCACTCGCATCCACCGCTCCTCCACATCTCGCTCAATTTGAAGCCCAAGGTAGTAGTTGACGTCACCAAGGGTCTTGCATTTAAACTTGTCTTGAAGCTTGAGCATCACCTCCTTCACGAGGTCAGAGGATGGTGAGAATATGAGGATGTCATCCACATAAAACACCATGAAACTCCTCTGCTCCCCCTCGCCAAGCATGAACAACGATTGATCGGCCGTTGAGGGAGTGAAGCCGATCACCTCCAAGACTTCCCGCAGCTTGATGCACCATTGCCTAGGGGCTTGCTTGAGGCCATAGAGTGCTTTATTCAGCTTCCACACTCTGCCACTCCCATCATTGTACCACTCTGGCTGTTCCATGTAGGTCTCTTCCTCCAAAACGCCGTTGAGGAAAGCCGTTACTATATCCATTTGCTTCACCACCCATCCTTTGATGGCCGCCGCGGCGAAGAGGGTTCGAAGGGTTGTACCCTTCACCACAGGGGCATACACTTCATTGTAGTCCTTCTCTTGCTGCTGATACCCCTTGGCTACAAGTCTGCTCTTGTAGCGCTCAATGTTGCCGTCGGCGTCGGTCTTGCGCTTGAAGATCCACTTGGACGAGATCGCCTTCCGCCCCGGAGGTAGATTCACCAAGTCAAACGTGCCGTTCTCGATGATGCTCCCCATTTCTTCATCTGAGGCCTTCTTCCACTCCTTCCCATTGGGGCCCTCCCAAGCCTCCTTGGGATTTGTAGGCTCCCCCGGCATCTCCACCGGAGAGAAGAAGGCAAAGGCGCACTCCTCGCTTTCATCTTCCGCATCATCGCCTAGCATGAGAGCCGAACCCGTCAAGGTTGAGTTGGCTGGTCCTCCAAGCCGGTCATAGCTCAACCTATTGGGGGGCTGCATCCTTCTTCTCCCCCTTTCTTCCTCCTCTGCTGCAGGGACTTGAATGCTCTCATGGCGTTGCGGTAAATCTGGTCGGTTCCCACGAGCACTTGTAGCACGAGGCGGAAGTGACGGTGCACGCTCATCATCTTGCTGCACCTCCTCCTCCTCCTCATCCCCATTCATTTGAGGAGATTGCCTTGTGATAGTGCTGCTGCTACTCAGCTCCAAGGGCAGCTCCACATGCTCCAAGCCGGTACTCTTCACCTCTCCAAGCCGCACACCAATCTTCGCTTGGTTCTCCGCCTTCCACTCCTTGTACGGTAAGTTCTCCATGAACTTGCAATCTCTACTCACCAAGAACTTCTTGGTAAATGGGTCCCAAAGAAGCCATCCCTTGCTGTTTTGAGCCATGCCCAGGTGCACGGCCCATGTTGCCTTGGCATCAAGCTTGTTGTGCCGAAGTTTCTTAAGCACAAGTGCCATGCACATGCACGTGAACACCCGAAGCATATCCACCTTCGGCTTCCTTCCAATCCACTCCACATAGGGCACCCATTTGTCTTCTCCCACGTGATTCAAGGCTCTGTTCTTGGCCACACAAGCATGCCGCACCGCATCCGGCCAAAAGTAATTGGGTAGACCGGCTTCAATGAGAAGTCCCCAAGCCGTCTCCGTGAGTGTCCGATTCACACGCTCGGCGATGCCGTTCATTGCAGGAGAGTAGGGCATGGTAAGAGAGTGCCTTATGCCTTGCTTCTTCAACCAAGTTGAGAAATCCTTGCTCAGGAACTCTCCCCCACGGTCAGTGCGAATCGCCTTCACAAGTCGGTCTTGTTGCCGCTCCACCATCGGCAACCAATCGGTCTTCACCGTTTCAGCTACGTCACTCTTCTTGGGCAGCACATACACCCAGGTCATGTGAGTGTAGACGTCCACAATGGTGAGTAAGTACTCTGCTCTAGCAGCTCCAAGCTTCAAGGGGCCCACCACATCCATCACCACCTCATCAAGTGGTGCCTTCGCCGTTGTCTCCGAGCTATGGAACGGGTAGCGGGTGAACTTGGCTTGCATGCATGTTGGGCAGCCAAGCACCTCATTGGGCTCCCCCTTGACACGTATCCCACTGACCATCTCTTGCTTAACTATCTGCTGCAAAATGGGCAATGCCACATGCCCCATTCGCCGATGCAAGGTCAGCCAATCACACTCTCCCGTAGCGGAAGTCGGGTTGGAGAAAGCGGCACTTGCAATTGTGCCCCACAAGCTCTCTCCTTTCTCCTTCGCTGCTGCTGCTTTGCTGATCTTAGGCTTCTCCTCCTCATTTCCACCACATTTGGCTGCTGCACCACTCTTCTTGGGTTCACACGCCTTGCTGGTCTCTCCAAGGTTGCACTCGTTCGAGTCACTCTTGGTGTCACTTTGCTTTCCGTGATCACCGCCACCAACCGCTTCACTCTTGGTGCTGACGCTTGCTGCCACTTGCCTCCCCTTAGGCATGGGGACCACTGGGATTTGCCACATCTCATTGTAGATGTCCCTGTCCTCATGAAGGTCCCAAAGCTTCTGCTCACCAAGCCTCGCGGTATATGTTTTGGAACCCTTGGAAGATGTGTCCATGCCTGCCTTTTGCAAACGCCGAACGGAAATCAGGTTGGCTGCAAGGTTGGGCACCAAAAGCACGTTCTCGAGGCCCACCATCTTCCCATCAGCACCCTTGAACATGGCCTTGCCCATGCCTTTCACCTCTGCTCGCTGCCCTGAAAAGGTGCTCCTTTGATGTTGTCTACCTTTGGGAGCTAGGCGATCCTAACGCCGACCATCCATCCATCTTTTCGTTCTTGCTATCTATCGAAGACTCATTATTCTAACAATGTGGCTCGTGGTATCAGTGCGTGCTACCATACCGTAATCACCCGGATAGACGCCCCTCCGTAGGATTAGTCCCATGGGCTCTAACACGTGCGTTGGAACTTATAGGCATTACTCGATTATAGCCCCCCCTTAATTTTCAGAAGCGGAACTAACGCCCTCTGACACCTCGCGCCAGCACGATTCATAACAGAAATGAGAGTTTCCAGCTTGGCACCACGTTGACTGGTCTCCAACGCGATTGCTTTGAATCCTCGCCAAAAATTATTCCCATTGCACACAACAAACCAGGAGCTACACGTCGATGTCAAACTTTTTATCTGCATATAATCCTTTTTAAACGCGCATGGGATTATATTTATTATTCAATCAAACGCCCCCCCACGTTTTCAAACCAGTCTAGTAAACGCCCCTAGGGGTGTCTATCCGGGTGATTACGGTATCAGCCAATGCACTTTACACGGAAGTAGGAGTAGCACTGCTGGTCCCAATAGGGCACAGAGCCAACACACGAGGCCAACTGAAACCCCGCTCGCTCCACCGGCTCATCCACACCCATTCTCTCCGCAGTGGCTGCTTCACCCACAACGCAAGACACCAGCAACAATGTCAGCCAAGCCAACACAGTTACGCACATGAAAGTAGGAGCAGCACTGTCGGTGCCAATCAAGACTAGAGACAACGCATGAGGCCAGCTGAAACCCCTCATCCACGCCCATTCTCTTGTCAGTGGCTGCCTGCCCACGGGCAAAGACACCAGCAGCTGCCACACTGAGAGGGGGAGGAGTGCAGGCGATGGTTCTTGTCGTGGCAAGGTGGTTAACCAACACAGTTGCGCACATGGAAGTAGGAGCAGCACTGTCGGTCCCAGTCAGGCACAGAGCCAACGCACGACGCCAGCTGAAACCCCGCTCGCTCTATCTGCTCATCCACTCCTTTCCTCTCTGCCGTGGCTGCCTCACTAACGGGGAAAGACACCAGCAGCTGACAGATGGAGAGAGGGAGGGGTGCGGGCGATGCTGCTGCTGACGATGATGTTGATGATGTTGAAGATCCTTTCCCTGCAGCCGTTGCTACTGCGGAGGACGCATCATGCAAAGCTGCAGCCCAGGATGCGATGGCAGCAGGGCCCAGGTGCTCTGCATCCACCTGCATGCATGAGTCACGAGGGCACAGGGGTGTAAGTGCGGCAAGGTGAGTTCTGGGATTGCTGGGGATTGTAAGGGAGACAACACGGGCACACCGTAGGAGTTTCTCAATGGGAATCGTGCAAGGCTGCAGCCCAGGCTGCGATGGCAGCAGGGCCCAGATGCTCTGCACTCTTATCAACATGGCGATTCATGATTAATGCAACATTTATGCATCACTTTTGCATCATCTTTGCATGATCTATGCAACTTTCATGCATCAATTATGCATACGTTAAACAGCATTTCCTGCTACCCCCCTCCCCCTATCCATGTCTGCAAACCTCCTCTCCACCATCTCCCCTCTCCCTATACATCATGAACCCATACATCATGACCCCATACATCATGACCCCATACAGCATGACCCCATACATCATGACCCCATACATCATGACCCCATACATCATGACCCCATACATCATGACCTCATACAGCATGACCCCATACATCATGACCCCATACAGCATGACCCCATAAAGCATGACCCCACACAGCATGACCCCACACAGCATGACCGCACACAGCATGACCCCATACAGCATGACCCCATACAGCATGACCCCATACAGCATGACCCTATCCAGCACGACCCCATACAGCATGACCCCATACAGCATGACCCAATACAGCATGACCCCATACAGCATGACCGCATACAGCATGACCCCATACAGCATGACCCCATAGAGCATGACCCCATACATCATGACCCCATACAGCATGACCCCATACAGCATGATGACCCCATACAGCATGACCCCATACAGCATAACCCCATACAGCATGACCCCATACAGCATGACCCCATACATCATGACCCCATACAGCATGACCCCATACAGCATGACCACCCCATACAGCATGACCCCATACAGCATAACCCCATACAGCATGACCCCACACAGCATGACCCCATACAGCATGACCCCATACAGCATGACCCCACACAGCATGACCCCATACAGCATGACCCCATACAGCATGAACCCATACAGCATGACCCCATACAGCATGACCCCATACAGCATGACCCCATACAGCATGACCCCATACAGCATGACCCCATACAGCATGACCCCACACAGCATGACCCCATACAGCATGACCCCATACATCATGACCCCATACAGCATGACCCCATAGAGCATGACCCCATACAGCATGACCCCATACAGCATGACCCCATACAGCATGACCCCATACAGCATGACCCTATCCAGCACGACCCCATACAGCATGACCCCATACAGCATGACCCAATACAGCATGACCCCATACAGCATGACCGCATACAGCATGACCTCATACAGCATGACCCCATACAGCATGACCCCATACATCATGACCCCATACAGCATGACCCCATACAGCATGATGACCCCATACAGCATGACCCCATACAGCATAACCCCATACAGCATGACCCCACACAGCATGACCCCATACAGCATGACCCCATACAGCATGACCCCACACAGCATGACCCCATACAGCATGACCCCATACAGCATGAACCCATACAGCATGACCCCATACAGCATGACCCCATACAGCATGACCCCATACAGCATGACCCCATACAGCATGACCCATACAGCATGACCCACACAGCATGACCCCATACAGCATGACCCCATACATCATGACCCCATACAGCATGACCCCATAGAGCATGACCCCATACAGCATGACCCCATACAGCATGACCCCATACAGCATGACCCCATACAGCATGACCCTATCCAGCACGACCCCATACAGCATGACCCCATACAGCATGACCCAATACAGCATGACCCCATACAACATGACCGCATACAGCATGACCCCATACAGCATGACCCCATACAGCATGACCCCATACATCATGACCCCATACAGCATGACCCCATACAGCATGATGACCCCATACAGCATGACCCCATACAGCATAACCCCATACAGCATGACCCCACACAGCATGACCCCATACAGCATGACCCCATACAGCATGACCCCACACAGCATGACCCCATACAGCATGACCCCATACAGCATGAACCCATACAGCATGACCCCATACAGCATGACCCCATACAGCATGACCCCATACAGCATGACCCCATACAGCATGACCCCATACAGCATGACCCCACACAGCATGACCCCATACAGCATGACCCCATACATCATGACCCCATACAGCATGACCCCATAGAGCATGACCCCATACATCATGACCCCATACAGCATGACCCCACACAGCATGACCCCACACAGCATGACCGCACACAGCATGACCCCATACAGCATGACCCCATACAGCATGACCCCATACAGCATGACCCCATACAGCACGACCCCATACAGCATGACCCCATACATCATGACCCACGACAGCATGACCCCATACAGCATGACCCCATACAGCATGACCCCATACAGCATGAACCCATACAGCATGACCCCATACAGCACGACCCCATACAGCATGACCCCATACATCATGACCCCATACAGCATGACCCCATACAGTATGACCCCATACATCATGACCCCATACAGCATGACCCCATACAGCATGACCCCATACAGCATGACCCCACACAGCATGACCCCATACAGCATGACCCCATACAGCATGACCCCTACAGCATGACCCCATACATCATGACCCCATAAAGCATGACCCCACACAGCATGACTGCACACAGCATGACCCCATACAGCATGACCCCATACAGCATGACCCCATACAGCATGACCCCATACAGCATGACCCCATACATCATGACCCCACACAGCATGACCCCACACAGCATGACACCATACAGCATGACCCCATACAGCATGACCCCATACAGCATGACCCCACACAGCATGACCCCATACAGCATGACCCCATACAGCATGACCCCACACAGCATGACCCCATACAGCATGACCCCATACAGCATGACCCCATACAGCATGACCCCATACAGCATGACCCCATACAGCATGACCCCATACAGCATCACCCCATACAGCACGACCCCATACAGCATGACCCCTACAGCATGACCCCATACATCATGACCCCATAAAGCATGACCCCACACAGCATGACTGCACACAGCATGACCCCATACAGCATGACCCCATACAGCATGACCCCATACAGCACGACCCCATACAGCATGACCCAATACAGCATGACCCCATACAGCATGACCCCATACAGCATGACCCCATACAGCATGACCCCATACAGCATGACCCCATACAGCATGACCCCATACATCATGACCCCACACAGCATGACCCCACACAGCATGACACCATACAGCATGACCCCATACAGCATGACCCCATACAGCATGACCCCACACAGCATGACCCCATACAGCATGACCCCATACAGCATGACCCCACACAGCATGACCCCATACAGCATGACCCCATACAGCATGACCCCATACAGCATGACCCCATACAGCATGACCCCATACAGCATGACCCCATACAGCATGACCCCATACAGCATGACCCCATACAGCATGACCCCATACAGCACGACCCCATACAGCATGACCCCATACAGCATGACCCCATACAGCATGACCCCATACAGCATGACCCCATACAGCATGACCCCATACAGCATGACCCCATACAGCATGACCCCATACAGCATGACCCCATACATCATGACCCCACACAGCATGACCCCACACAGCATGACCCCATACAGCATGACCCCATACAGCATGACCCCATACAGCATGACCCCACACAGCATGACCCCATACAGCATGACCCCATACAGCATGACCCCATACAGCATGATGACCCCATACAGCATGACCCCATACAGCATGACCCCATACAGCATGACCCCATACAGCATGACCCCATACAGCATGACCCCATACAGCATCACCCCATACAGCACGACCCCATACAGCATGACCCCTACAGCATGACCCCATACATCATGACCCCATAAAGCATGACCCCACACAGCATGACTGCACACAGCATGACCCCATACAGCATGACCCCATACAGCATGACCCCATACAGCACGACCCCATACAGCATGACCCAATACAGCATGACCCCATACAGCATGACCCATACAGCATGACCCCATACAGCATGACCCCATACAGCATGACCCCATACAGCATGACCCCATACATCATGACCCCACACAGCATGACCCCACACAGCATGACACCATACAGCATGACCCCATACAGCATGACCCCATACAGCATGACCCCACACAGCATGACCCCATACAGCATGACCCCATACAGCATGACCCCACACAGCATGACCCCATACAGCATGACCCCATACAGCATGACCCCATACAGCATGACCCCATACAGCATGACCCCATACAGCATGACCCCATACAGCATGACCCCATACAGCATGACCCCATACAGCATGACCCCATACAGCACGACCCCATACAGCATGACCCCATACAGCATGACCCCATACAGCATGACCCCATACAGCATGACCCCATACAGCATGACCCCATACAGCATGACCCCACACAGCATGACCCCAGCATGACCCCACACAGCATGACCCCACACAGCATGACCCCATACAGCATGACCCCATACAGCATGACCCCACACAGCATGACCCCACACAGCATGACCCCACACAGCCTGACCCCATACAGCATGACCCCACACAGCATGACCCCACACAGCATGACCCCATACAGCATGACCCCATACAGCATGACCCCATACAGCATGACCCCATACAGCATGACCCCATACAGCATGACCCCATACAGCATGACCCCATACAGCATGACCCCATACAGCATGACCCCACACAGCATGGCCCAACACAGCATGACCCCATACAGCATGACCCCATACAGCATGACCCCATACAGCATGACCCCATACAGCATGACCCCATACAGCATGACCCCATACAGCATGACCCCATACATCATGACCCCATACAGCATGACCCCATACAGCATGACCCCATACAGCATGACCCCATACAGCATGACCCCATACAGCATGACCCCATACAGCATGACCCCATACAGCATGACCCCATACAGCATGACCCCACACAGCATGACCCCACACAGCATGACCCCATACAGCATGACCCCATACAGCATGACCCCATACAGCATCTACCCATCTATCATGCATACACCAACAAACAAGCAGCTCACCTTAATCACATCAACATGCCGTGCGAGAACATCCCCCTTCTCCTTTCCCCCGTCCCACATCTCTCCGCCCCCCCCTGCCTCCATGTCACCCTCCCTAACGCTGTCTCCTCCCATGCTCCTGGCGATGCTGGCATATGCCTGCTGTGACTGCTGCAGCCAGGAGGTGGGGCGATAAAGAATGGTGATGGAGGGGAAGAGAGCGGAAAGAGCCTCTTCCCAGCTGCCAGGGAGCAGAGGGAGAGGGGATTCCGCTGTTTCAATGTTGCTTCGGCCACCTTTCCCCGTGCTACCTTTCCTCCAGCTCTCACTTCCCTCTCCTGCCTCCTTTGTGCCAGCCGCACCGAGCAGTTGCGTCAAGGCCGACTCTTGAGTCGACTTAAGAGTCACCTCTGTGTCAGCCTCATGGAGCAGTCTCCGCAGCACCCGTTTGCCCCTCCCGCTGCTTCTGCTGCTTGCTCTCCTCAAGCTGCTGTTGAACTTGCTGCGCCCACCATCGCCACCACCAGCACCACCAGCACCAGCACCAGCACTTCCACTCCTCTTCATCCTCCTGCTATTCCTGATACTCCTGCTCCTGCTGCTACTCGTCCACCACTTGCCGCTACTGCTCTCGCTGCTGCTGCTGTTACTCCTGTGATTGTGGTGGTTTTTGCCGCCGCGCTTCCTAATGCTCGTGCTGCTCACCCCGTCACTGCCGTTCCTTGCACCAGTCCTCTCCATTCTGCTCATGCTGCTGCTGCTGCTGCTGCTGCTGCTGCTGCTGCTGTCGCCGCTGCTTGCGCTGATGCCATAGTCGTTTGTGGTGGTCGTGGTGCTGTCATCGACTGCAGTGGGCGTGCCGGTTGCTTCCCATTCGAAACGATCGGACATGGATAAAACAACGCTGGATGCAAGGGAAGGGAGAGCAGAGGAAGACGCCAACGAGGGCGCAGAAGAGGCACAGCAGGGGTGAAGAGGCTTAAAGATTGACAATGAGAGGACCGATAATCAAGGAGAGTGCAAGGCAGGAGAGGAGAGAGGAGCAGACAGGAGAGGAGAAGAGAGGAGAGGAGACGCAAGGAGAGGAGAAGAGAGGAGAGGAGAAGAGAGGAGAGGAGAAGCGAGAAGAGGAGAAGAGAGGAGAGGAGAAGAGAGGAGAGGAGAAAAGAGGAGAGGAGAAGGGAGGAGAGGAGACGAGAGGAGAAGAGAGGAGAGGAGAAGAGAGGAGAGGAGAAGTGAGGAGAGGAGAAGAGAGGAGAGGAGAAGCGAGGAGAGGAGAAGAGAGGAGTGGAGAAGAGAGGAGAGGAGAAGACAGGAGAGGAGAAGAGAGGAGAGGAGAAGAGAGGAGAGGAGAAGAGAGGAGAGGAGAAGCGATGAGAGGAGACGAAGCGTGCAAGGGCATGATCTCGCATTCATGGCATGATCTCGCATTCATGGCATGATGTTACGGCAGGTGGGATGGCAGAGAACAGACTGAGATACATTAAATCATGTGCAAGACAATCGACAATCGACATCGTGAAAAACGCTCTACAGTATGCAAAAAACTGTTCAGTGGGAAAGCTCAGACAACCTGGAAAAACACCTGAGTTGAAAACATGGAGGCAGAGAGCAGGTTTGTGAACGTGCTGCATTGCTGTGGCGCATGTGCTAGAAGCAAATCTACCTGAAAACACCTGGTTGCACACCTGAAACCACCTGAACCGAGCCCCCCACCTGAAACCACCCGAGGCACCCAGCTGAAACCACCTGGCAGCACACCTGAAACCACCTGGCAGCACACCTGAAACCGCCACCCCACACACCTGGAGGCAGAGAGCAGGCGTGTAAAGGTACTGAACTGCCGTGGTGCGCTTCCCAGAAGCTTCGCCTCCCCCAGCTGCCCCCGCACACAGATGCCCAAGGGGGAGGGGGCGGTCCACACAGCAGAGAGGGCACGGAGCTGGGGGGAAGCGGGGAAGAAGGGGAAGAGGAGGGACTCGGGAGAGGGGGAGGGGGGAGGAAGAGGGGGGCAACTTCAATGAGCTGCCCTCCACCAGCTGCTGGGCCATCAGTCTCATACAGAGGGCCAGGGGGAGAGCGGGGACCACCCAGACATGAGGGCGCGGAGCTGGGAGGGAGAGAGGGAGGACGGGGAGGAAGAGGGGGGCGGGGGGGGGAAGTGGGAAGGGCAGGGGGAGGCGGCCAAGCCTTTTTACCTTTTGTCTACCAGCTGGCCCCTGACACACAGGACTAAGGGGGAGGGGGCGGACCACACAGCGGAAAGGGCGCGGAGCTGGGGAGGGGTGGAGGAGGGGAAAAGGGCAGGGCAGGGGAAGGGCAGGGGAAGGGGGCCACTGTCAATGTCCTGCCCTCCACGAGGTGGCCGCTCACACAGAGAGCCCATGAAGGGGCGGACCATACAGTGGGGAGGGCGTGGAGCTGCGGGAAAGAGAACGGATGGGGGAGCAAGGGGGGGAGGGGGAAGGGGGAGGGGTGAAAGGCAAATCACAGTGCAAAAGCGACACCCACACAAATCACAGAGCAAAAGCGACACCCATTTTGGTCTTTGTTTTTTGTATTATTTGTAATGTTTGTTTTCACCCGGCAAATCACAGAGCAAAAGCCTCCCACCAACGCCAACCACCCTCCTCTCCTACCCGCTCGAAAGACCGCATGCAGAGCGCCACGTCAGCAGCCATGCGGACGATAGCGTGGCGCTGCCGTGCCAGCTCAGCGCCCATAGCATCATCAAACTGCTGCTGCCACGTGTCCTCCCACGGTTGGTGGATGGAGCAGATGTCGATCCCCTGTGTGAACGGCCCCGGCCAGTTGGGGGCAGCACGGGGGATGGTAGCCAGAGCCTTTTCAGCCTGGGAGATGAGGGAGGGGAAGAGGGGAGGGACAGGAAGGGAGATGGAGGATGGAGCAGATGTCAATCCCCTGTGTGTGAATGGCCCCGGCCAGTTGCGGGCTGTTCGAGGGGTGGGAGCTGGGGGCTGTCGATTCCCATGGCCTTGAGTGAAGGGACCCGGCCAGTTGGGGCAGTGCAAGGGATTGCTGAGGGCCTTGGCTGGTGCTATGGCTATGGCTGGTGTTTGCATTTAAGGTCGACTCAAAGCAGATTGCAGAGAGGGCCTTTTGAGCCAAAGGAATGGCAGGAAGAGGGTGAGGGAGGAAGGTACGAAAGGAAGGATATGGTTAGTGCTTGCAACAGGTATCAACCCCCCCCCCCCTCTTCTTCCCCCGCCCCCCTCCCCTTCCCCTCTAGACCCTCCCCACTCCCCCCACTCACCTCCTCCCCTGCCCTGCAGCGAGTGCACATGCGGCACTTTTGCCTCTGTTCAGAGGCACCCTAGCAGCGGTCTACTCAGAACCTCCCAACCACACCCCCCCCACCCTTCCTCCCCTCCCCTCTCACCTCCTCCCCTGCCTTGCAGGGAGTGCACATGCGACACTTGGCTCCGTTCAAAGGCACCTTAGCAGCAGCGCTGAGGATCTTAACGGGACACGAGTCGCCCTCTAAAGGGTACAGCCGGCGCGTGAGGATGCAGAAGGACACGTTCTGCCGCTCCACTCTCACGCCCTTCATGTCTAGCTGTGCCTTGAACGCCTGCTCGGAGTAGAGCTGGCTGGGGGCAGGGGGGAGGGGAAGGGAAGGGAAGGGAAGGGAAGGGAAGGGAAGGGAAGGGAAGGGAAGGGAAGGGACGGGAAGGGAAGGGAAGGGACGGGAAGGGAAGGGAAGGGAAGGGAAGGGACGGGAAGGGAAGGGAAGGGAAGGGAAGGGACGGGAAGGGAAGGGAAGGGAAGGGAAGGGAAGGGAAGGGAAGGGAAGGGAAGGGAAGGGAAGTGAAGTGAAGGGAAGGGAAGGGACGGGAAGGGAAGGGAAGGGAAGGGAAGGGAAGGGAAGGGAAGGGAAGGGAAGGGACGGGAATTGGGGATGCAGAAGCACAGGTCCGGCGCTGAACCTTCACCCGCCCTTCATGTCCAGCTGTGATTTGAACGCCTCCTCCGAGTAGAGCCGGCTAGGGAGAGGGTGGAAGATTCGGCGCGGGAAATGAACGGAAAAAAAGGGGGGAGAAACAGGAGGGGGGAGAGGGGAACACGGGATGCAAAAGGAGAGGTTCTGGCGATGCACCTTTACCCGGTTCATGTTCAGCTGAGCTTTGAACGCCTGCTCCGAGTAGAGCTGGCTGGGAGAAGAGAGTGGAGGAAGACGTGGGCGAAAAAGCCTGGAGCAGCGCTTTGCACCTATCCGGGGCATGAGTCGTCCTCTAAGGGGTCTTAGAATCTGTCCTTCTGCATCCCGCTTGCACCTCCGTTGTTCCTTAAGTGGCGGCACTTTGGATTTCGGGCGATTCCTGGACGGACGCCCCCTTCAGGTGATGTCAGGTGAGCCCCCCTTCTCCCTTCAACTCCAGCATAACCCTAGAGAATTAGGGTTCTACTCCGTCTGGTAGGACCGCACTTTGGTTTTGAGAACAGGGGTTGATCAAAACCCAAGCTCCGAGTGAACCACCAGTCTGGTAGAATCCCCTTAGCATCGCCTGGGGTCCTACTACCAGACCAGGAGTGGCCACGTCGCCTGTAGTCGACTGCCTCCTTGCCCGCACCTCCCCTCCTTGCTTCCATCCAGGTGCCCTGTATCCCACTCCTCGCTCGCCACGAATGCGTCACTTCACCCGCGACACTATCTTCTCACTTGTACCCAGCAGCCACCATCTCGCCCAGCGCGCTGAGCCTCCTAAGCGCTGCTTCACTGGCCTCCCATCAGTCTGACCCACACGGGATAGTGTCCGCCAGAGGGGCAGTGTGGGCTGTGCTCCTGCTGTGGTTAAGAGGCATGCCTTGAGGGGTTGTCTCGTCTCACCTGTACCCAGCAGCCCGACACGGCCACCAGCTCACTCACCTGTACCCAGCAGCCACCATCTCGTCCAGCGCACTGAGCCTCCTAAGCGCCACTGCACTGGCCTCCCTCCCTCCGGCGCCAAACCGGTCGTTCAGCCCCCACCAGTCCGACCCGGACGGGATAGTGTAGGTCAGAGGAGTGTCTTGAGGCATCTCATACCCCACTCGCCCAACTGCCCCACTGCCACCACCTCTCAAATCAGTAGCTGATTTGGCTCCTGCTTTGGCGGCCATGGGGGGGAGGGGCAGGGGCAGGGCGGGCGGGGGGAGGGTCGGGGCGGGGGCGTTCCAGAGGGAGTCGAGGCGCGCTCGCACGATCCAGGGGTAGCGCAGGGCGGGTTCTGCTGACGTGGCTTCGCGTGCTGATGTGGCTTCCAACGATTGGATCATGTCCCAGCAGCCCTCCACCAGGCGGAAGTACTGTAGAAGGCCCTGCGGGTTAGGGGTGAGAGAGAGGAGAGTGAGAGTGAGAGTGAGGGGAGAGACAGAAGGGGAAGATAGGACTGGGAAGAGTGAGAAATGCTGATGAAATGGAAGAGGGAGTTTTGAGAATTCTAAAAAATCACCTTCAACATGGAAGAGTGGGAAAGAACAGGAGGGATTCAGAGCAGGGAGGGATGGAGGCACCTTGAGGCTTGAGCCACCACAAGGGATTGCTCACCTGCTGCGATCCATTGAGCGACGACTGCCAGTTGAGCGCCCTCCTCTGATTCTAGTCTTGAGGCGCCTCAAAACGAGGCGCAAGAGCAAAAAGAGCGCAAGGCGCCTTTGATTTGAACCACCACGGCCGACACACACCTGCAATCCATTCGGCGACGACTGCCAGTTGAGCGCCCTCTGATTCTAGTCTTGAGGCGCCTCAAAACGAGGCGCAAGAGCAAAAAGAGAGCAAGGCGCCTTTGATTTGAACCACCACGGCCGACACACACCTGCAATCCATTCGGCGACGACTGCCAGTTGAGCGCCCTCCTCTGATTCTAGTCTTGAGGCGCCTCAAAACGAGGCGCAAGAGCAAAAAGAGCGCAAGGCGCCTTTGATTTGAACCACCACTGACGACACACACCTGCAATCCATTCGGCGACGACTGCCAGTTGAGCGCCCTCCTCTGATTCTAGTCTTGAGGCGCCTCAAAACGAGGCGCAAGAGCAAAAAGAGCGCAAGGCGCCTTTGATTTGAACCACCACGGCCGACACACACCTGCAATCCATTTGGCGACGACTGCCAGTTGAGCGCCCTCCTCCGATTCGCCGTCTCGTCCAAATCACTATTGGAGAAAATCCTCACACTCGCTATAGTCACGCCAGTGGAATCCTCCCCCTGCTCTCCCGCAATGCCCCCCAAGAAGCCAAGCTTGGCAGCCGTCTCATCCAAGGGCGCGTGCAGGAAGAGGTGCGCGGGGCGGTGGGGGAGGTGTGAGGGGTGGGAGGGGTGCGAGGGGTGGGAGGAGCCATTGGAAAGGTACGAGGGATGGGCGGGCAGCAGCAGGTGGCGCAGCAGCGAGGGCCCCGTGGCCTCAAAGGCACGCGCCGACCCCACCAGGCACACCGCAATGGGGGCGGGGGGTGGGGGCTGCAGGGAGGGAGGGGAGGAAAGATGGTAGGGATTCAGATGGCACATGATGCGCGCACACAGGCACGCGCCGACCCCACCATGCACACCGCCATGGGGGTGGGGGAGGAGAGCGGCGGCTGGGAGGGAAGAGGGGAAAGGCGGTCGGAATTCAGATGGCACATGATGGGCTCAACGGCACGTGGCGAACCCGCCAGGCGCACCGCCGCTGGTGGATGCCGCGGGGACGGCAGCGCAGAAAGCAATGGAGTGCAGCGTGTTAGAAGAATTGTTTTGACACGTCTCGAAACAAACCTTCTGTCAAGTGGTTGCTGCAGGGACGGCAGCGCAGAAAGCAATGGAGTGCAACGTGTTAGAAGAATTGTTTTGACACGTCTCGAAACAAACCTTCTGTCAAGTGGTTGCTGCAGGGACGGCAGCGCAGAAAGCAATGGAGTGCAACGTGTTAGAAGAATTGTTTTGACACGTCTCGAAACAAACCTTCTGTCAAGTGGTTGCTGCAGGGACGGCAGCACAGAAAGCAATGGAGTGCAATGCGAGTGCGATATGAGTGAGCTGTGGAGCTGAGGGCTGCGGAGCTGAGGGCTGCGTACGAGTAACCAGCGATCAGCAGGCCAGCAGCAGGCACAAAGCAAGCACCGCACGCCGTGGCAGCATGCCTGCACTGCAGCCACTGGCCGAGTCACGAGAACTTACGCGTTGAGGGTTGAGAGAGACATGACCGGCGGCACTACGATCGCTGCGCAGGCCAGCAAACCCACCTTATTCTCCTCACTTTCCTCTGGGCTTTTGCAACTGCTACTTGAATTTAAGGCCGAGTCTCGAACACTTGAGTTGAGGGCTGAGTAAGAGACAACCAGCGGCACTGTGAGCACCGAGCAGGCCGGCAGCAGCCGCAAGCACCGCAGCAAGGGGGGGAGGGGGGGAAACGGTCCCATGCCGTGACACCCGTTTGTGCTTTGACCTTTTCTATTATAAGAAACGTTTTGTATCTAAAGAAAACCCGCCGGGTCCTGCCCAAAGTATCTCACCTTATTCCTCTCGTTCTCCTCCAAGCCTCCGCGGCTAATAGCCGAATCTAAGGCCGGGTCGCGGTGAGCAGAGTTAAATGCGGAGTAGGAGACCACCAGCGGCACTATGAAGATCCCCGCGCAGGCCAGCAGCAGCAGCCGCAAGCACTGCAAGCACCGCAAGCACCACAGGGTCCTGCCAAATAGCCTCACCTTATCTTCCTCGTTCTCCTTGGAGCTGCTGCTCCGACTAGTACTCGATGAGTTAAATGCGGAGTAGGAGACAACCAGCGGCACAATGATCCCCGCGCAGGCCAGCAGCAGCCGCGAGCACTGCACGCCGAGGCGCGCATTACGATGCAGCCGATGGGGGCCGCCAGCGGCGCGGTGGCGCGAGCTGGGAAAGCGCATCGCGGAGACCCCAGGGGTCGGCAGAGAATCCAGTGGCGTTCGCAGCGGTACGATCGACGCTACATGGGAGGCGTTGTAACGCTGTACTGCAGCCAGTAGCTGCTTGCTTTAGAATTCTAACGAATCCAGCTACACCAATTTCGGCGTTCGCGGCTGTATGATCGCGGCTACATGATGGGACGTTTCGTACGGGTGCGAGAGCTTTTACCGCCAAGGATACGAGAAGTCAGCGCAGGGTCAGATCAGAGTGCACCAAGGACTTTCGGTATCGCGGGAATCGCGGGAATTGCGGAAATTGCGGAAAATGCACGATTTGAATTGTCTATACTACGTGACCGAGAATAGCGGTTCCCCCTCCGGCCTCAGGGAGCGCGGCGACGTCTCTAACCTGATAGCAGGCCGCCATCAAATCGCCGAGCCACTAAACATACAGGTGCTTGGTTACAGCTCCTCGCCATGAGAATCGCTGCTGATAACTGGAACAATCGGAGGCGTTGAAGTGGTCTAGATGGATGGTGGTTCCCCTGCCACAGGAGATCAGCAAATCGTCATCAGGCAAACCGAATCTCTTTCGTCCACCAATGAGCGTCAGAATGGCAGCGGGTAACAACGATCTGTAAAATCGTCGAGTCGCATTTCATCGTCCAATCGCAGTGTACCAAACTGGACAGTGTTCGAAAATCGGCTGAATGTCGGTTGGCAGGCCAAGCTCGGGGAGCACGCCAGGAATGGTCTGACTGAAGTGTATCCTTTTCACTTTTGCTTATTTTGAGTGTACACTCAACCATTCGTAGCGGATTGCTCTGTGACGCACCACTTCCTCTTGAAGGAGTTCGGGACGGTGGATAAAGTATTTACCCTTCTACAATGCGATACACTTCGGTTTTTTTTATCTCTCCTTGTGCACACGAGCAGCAGACCAGACCAGTCACAGCTCTCCGTATGCGCGGGCGATCGTATGGGATGAAACCTCTCCGTGGCTCGTGTGTTATTTCGGCTGGTCAGGTCACTGACCGGCCGATATAAGCTGCTTTGATCTTCGCGACGTCTCGTTTAGGCTGCATGCGGGATCGCAGTTTACATGCTTTTTATATCAAGCCTTCATCGAGATTCACGACGACAAATGCCAGGTTTTGCGACGAAACGCGGCGACGGTTCACCAGAACGAGCGCAAGGCTCCGAGCTGGTCTAGTCGGGCCTACGTGGACGAATTTCCGCCGAACACGGCATGTTAAGGCGAATAGGGCTAGCCTAGCCACTGCGAACAGTCGTTGACCCCGAGTCGTTCTACAGAGTGGTCAAGATGTATCAGACGCGAAGAGATGTGTCAGATTGAGATTGTACCTGTTACTGTACTAGTCTGGTTGGGGTTGAGTCAAGGGTCCAATCAGGGGCGTACTAAGAGTCGTCCTCGGTGGCATATGGATGGAGTTGTTGATTCGGCACACCGTGATGGCTGACACGGTACAGCAGGTGCCGCCTCATCGAGGTGTCCTTCGTGTCGACTCACAACACAGCCCGTGCCACCTCGTCGACGCACCAGTTTTGAGACGTCCCCAACGCTGTTGATTACCCCATGGCTGACACGGTGCAGCGGATTCCGGGTAGATTTTGAGTCAAGGCTCAAAAGTGACTCGGGTTCTGACCTCGGCACGGCACACCATCATGGCTGATACAAATCAGCCCGATTCGCCGCATCAGGGCCCCACAGGAGCCAAAGCGAGCCACGGATTGCACCACCGTCACGCGCCCGAGCTGCCTAGCAACTCCCTAACGAGCCACTCTTTGAATCACTCCTCAGATTCCCGTTTAACCCACTCTTTAACTCACTCCCTAGCCTACTTTCCCTTCGATCATTCAGTATCTGAGTTAGCTCGTTCCTTAGTCCCCTCCGCAATAGGCCGTGCTGGGAGGCCGCTGTTTAACCGACTGACGGCCAGACTGCTCGGCGGCGGCGTGATGCTGCTCCTGAGAGCGAAGATCCTCGTTATAGTCTTCGTAGTGCTGACGTCAGCTTTCGCAGCGGTGCACTGGCCGCTCAGGCGCTCGTGGCGGGTAGATTTCAGGCGTGATGCAACGGATTCCCATGTGAGTGAGAGGGTGAGCTTGCTGGTCAGCTAGAGGGTGGGCGAGCACTCGCTCGTGGCGGGTAGATTTCATTTCAGGCGTGATGCAACGGATTCCGATGTGAGTGAAAGGGTGAGCTTGCTAGTTAGCTAGTGAGTGAGTGGGCACTCACTTTCATTCCCTCGTGGCTTGTAGATTTCCAGCGTGGTGCAGCGAGTTCTGGTTTGAGTGGGAGAAGCTAGTGAGGTGAGTTGGTTGTCTAGTATGCTCAAAGGCCGCTAAGACGCTCGTGCCGTGTAGATTTCCAGCACGATGGAGCGACCCTTGATGTGAGTGGGAGAGGAAGTGAGTTAGCTAGCTGGCGTGTGAGTGGGAGAGGAAGTGAGTTGGCTACCTGGTGTGTGAGTGGGCGAGGAAGTGAGTTTGCTAGCTGGTGTGTGAGTGGGAGAGGAAGTGAGTTTGCTAGCTGGTGTGTGAGTGGGAGAGGAAGTGAGTTTGCTAGCTGGTGTGTGAGTGGGAGAGGAAGTGAGTTTGCTAACTGGTGTGTGAGTGGGAGAGGAAGTGAGTTTGCTAGCTGGTGTGTGAGTGGGAGAGGAAGTGAGTTTGCTATTTAGTGAGTGGGGTGAGGGAGAAAGTGAGTGAGCACGCACATTCATGACTCCTGGCGTGTGGATTCCCGGCGCAGCGCGATGCAGAGAATTCTGATGTGAGTGGGAGGGTTAGTGAGTTTGCTAGCTAGTAGTGTGTGAGCGAGGGAAGCTAGTGTGTGAGAGTGACAGAAAGTGAGTGCTCACTTTGATTCCCCGCGCGGCGCGTCATTTCCCTGCGTGATGCAGCAAAGCGAATTGCCTTGTGAGTGGGCGAGCTGGTGCAGGAGCGAGAGGGTGAGAGGACGGGGTTGCATGCTAGTCGGGTCCGCACGACCGTGCAGCCCCCTCCCCCCGCCCCCACGGTGCCTTTGATTGAACCTCTCCCCCCCCGTCCCCGTGGCGGTGTGCCTGGTGGTCAGGGCGGTGTGCCACGCGTGCCCTTCAACCTCTCCTTTCTTTCCCCCAACCCTTACCTCCTGGCGGCCCCCATCCTCCACCCACCCCCATCGCGGTGTGTCTGTTGGGGTCGCCCCTCTTCCCTCCCTGCCGCTCAACCCCCCTGCCCCCCATAGCAGTGTGCGTGGTGGGGTCGGCGCGTGCCCTTGTAGGGCCTCATATGTCATCTAGATTCCTTTTCGTTTCCTTCGTCGCCCTCCCCTGCCTGCCCCCAGGCGCCCCTCCCCTCCCCTGCCCCCATCGCGGTGTGCCTGGTGGGGTCGGCGCGTGCCTTTGAGGCTACGGGGCCCTCGCTGTTGCGCCACATCCTGCTGCCTGCCCGCCCGTCGCACCTCTTGCTGCCCGCCCGCCCGTCGCACCTCTTCCTGCACGCCCCATTAGATGAAACCGCAGCCAAACTCAGCTTCTTGCGAAACTTCGTTACCAGCAGTAGCAGCAGCGGCAGCAGCAGCACTGGTAGCAGCGGTAGCAATAGTCCCAGTAAGGAATCTGGTAGGGAAGGGGAGGTGGGGAATAGTGACGTGGCAGCTCGGGATTGGGCGCGTTTGGTGCAGGAGAACGCCGTAGCATCCGTCCGAATCTTCCCGAACAGTGACGTGGATGAGACAAAATACCCCACTGGGGTCATGTACACCAAGGACTCGCCCAGTGGCCTGCAGGGCCTGCTACAGTACTTTCGGCTGGTGGAGGGCTGCTGGGACATGATCCAATCGTTTGAAGCCACGTCAGCACGTGAAGCCACGTCAGCAGCACCCTCCCTGCGCTACCCCTGGATCGTGCGAGCCCGCCTCGACTCCCTCTGGACCGCCCCCGCCCCGATCCCCCCCCCGCCCACGCTGCCCCTCCCCCTCCCCCTCGTGGCCCCCGCAGCAGCAGCCGATTCAGCTGCTGGCTTGACAGATGGCAGCAGTAAGGCGGTTGGGGGATTCGCCTACACTGTCCCCTACGGGTGGGACTGGTGGGGGCTCAACGACCGGTTTGGCGCTGGGGGCAGGGAGGCCAGTGGCGTGGCTATGAGGCGGCTGAGAGCGCTGCACTTGCTGGAAAGGAATCGAATGAGGTAGGTGCTTGGAAGCCTCTGGACTGGACTGTTACAGTACATGTACATGTAGATGGTGTGTTGGGGGGGGGAGAGAGGCTGGGTACTTTTTAGGCATGGTGTTGTTTAGAATTCTCAAAATCACTCTTTGAAGCATCTGGACCGTTACACTACATGTAGATGGTGCGCTGGCTGGGGGGCAGAGAGGCGAGTAGCGGGGCATGGTGATGAGGACGTTGAGTGCGCTGCACTTGCTGGCACAGAGAGAGTTGCGGTGAGTGTGCTGCAACTTTCTCTCGGAGCATGGTGATGAGAAAGTTGAGTGCGCTTTGGAGAATTCTAAAAACATCACTTGCTGGCACGGAGAAAGACGCGGCGAGTGTGCTGGGGCTGGGTAACGGTAACGGTGGGGTTGGGTAACGGTAACGGTGGGGTTGGGTAATGGTAACGGTGGGGTTGGGTAACGGTAACGGTGGGGTTGGGTAATGGTAACGGTGGGGTTGGGTAACGGTAACGGTGGGGTTGGGTAACGGTAACGGTGGGGTTGGGTAACGGTAACGGTGGGGTTGGGTAACGGTAACGGTGGGGTTGGGGAACGGTAACGGTGGGGTTGGGTAACGGTAACGGTGGGGTTGGGTAACGGTAACGGTGGGGTTGGGTAACGGTAACGGTGGGGTTGGGTAACGGTATTCTAACACCAGAGGTCCAGGGGATGGGAGGCTAACGGCGTGGTGGTGCGGAGGCTGAGTGCGCTGCGCTGCGTCTATTGGCTCGGAGGAAGATGAGGTGAGGTGAGTGGATAGGCCTATTTCAGGCATGTGTTATCGTTTCATCCCACAGCTGGAGATTGGTCTGCTGTACAGTGCATGGCAGAGAGGCCAGTGGCGTGGCTATTGGCGTGGCTATTGTCATGTTGGCGTGGCTATTGGCGTGGCTATTGGCGTGGCTATTGGCGTGGCTATTGGCGTGGCTATTGGCGTGGCTATTGTCATGTTGGCGTGGCTATTGGCGTCGCCAATACCTGCGGCCCACTCAGCAGGCATACATGAGCCAGCCGAGTGGCGAGGAGGAGAAAGGTGGGGTTAGTTGATACGGTATTTTGGGGGTGATGGAAAGGGGAATGACAAAGTTGCACAGAGGCAGGCTGCTTTGGAGCCGGGTGCAGAGGGGCGATTGCATTGGCTATGAGATGACTGACTGCCTTGCGGTCGTTGCCTCCTTTCTGCCAGAGACCTCTTCTCAGAGCGAGCGTTCAAGGCCCGATTAGCCCCAGGGAATATCTGGGTGCAGTGGGCCAACTTGTCCTTCTGTGTGCTCAGCCACCGCACCTGCCACGACAGCTCTGCTCCCATCCACTCTCACTCCCACCCACTCTCACTCCCACCCACTCTCACTCCCACCCACTGTCTTCCCCATCCACCCACAGTACGTACACCTACTCTCATGCTCCACATGCCCCCATGGTCTCACCCAGTCCCCCACATCCCCCATCCCCCTCCCTGCAGAGACCTCAACTCAGAGAGGGCCTTCAAGGCCCAGCTGGCCCTAGGGAATGTTAATGTGCAGCGAGCCAACCTGTCCTTCTGTGTGCTCAGGAAACGCAGCTATTGGGACGGCGGTGCTCCCACCCACTGTCTCCTCCGTTCTCCCACTCTCACGCCCCCAACCTGTCCCTCATGCACCCCGTCCCTTTCCCCTCCCTGCAGAGACCTTAACTCAGAGCGAGCCTTCAAGGCCCAGCTGGCCTTAGGGGGCATCTCAGTGCAGCGAGCCAACCTGTCCTTCTGTGTGCTCAGGAAACGCAGCTATTGGGACGGCGGTGCTCCCACTGTGTCTTTCAATTTTCCTCATGCTCCTGATCTTCCTCCTTGCAGGGACCTCAACTCGGAGCGAGCCTTCAAGGCCCAGCTGGCCCTAGGGAACGTCAAAGTGCAGAGGGCGAATGTGCCCTTCTGTGTGCTCAGCCGCCGCACCTACTGGGACGGCTGTGCGCCCACTGTCTTCTCTATCAACTCGTCCGTCCTGCTAAATGGCGCCAAGTGCCGCCCGTGCAGCCGCCCATGTGCGACAGGTGACAAGGTAAGTTCTGAAGGGGGCTACAGTGGCCCTTCCTCTGTGCTAGGGGGCTACAGTGGCCCTTCCTCTGTGCTGGGGGGCTACAGTGGCCCTTCCTCTGTGCTGGGGGGCTACAGTGGCCCTTCCTCCGTGCAAAATCACGGTCTTCTCCATCAACTCCTGTGTCTCGCTAAATGCCACCAGATGCCGCCCCTGCCACTGCCCCTGCGCTACAAGGGATAAGGTGCTGGGGAGGGGGAAGGAGGGGGAGGGGGGGGAGGTAAGGTGGGCCCTTCTTTGTGCCCCCACTGTTTTCTCCATCAGCTGCTCTGTCCCGCTAAATGGCGCCAAATGCCGCCCATGCCACTGCCTGCGTGTTACATACAGGGGTCTCTATGATTTTTCATTCTGTCCTTTTTTCTCTCACTGCCCATACTCTCTCGCGCACACTCCTCTCCTTTTCCTCAACTCGCTTCCCCTCCTAACCCCTCTTCTTGCCCACCCCTCGCCCACTCCCCTCTCCTCCCACCGCCTACTACTGCCTCAGGCACGAGCCCTAATAGCCCCACTCGGCCCTTCCGACCCCAACTGGCCGGGGCCAGGAGTAGTGGAGGGCGAGGTGGGGGTGTGTGACGCGGCGAGGGGATGGGAGGGGGGGTGGGAGGGGGAGTTTGATGCGGTGATGGGGGAGGAGATGGCGGCGGGGAGAAGGCAGGTGGTGCTGGAGAGCATGGGGAGCATTGAGGAGTGTGTGAAGGCATGGGATGAGGTGAGAGGGGGATGAGGGGAGAGAGGGATGAGGTGAGAGAGGGAGAGGGATGATTTGAGATACTTCCTTGCTGCATTGCGAAGAGTTAGTACGCAGTTGTGGGGTAGATGGGTGGGGAAGATCAGGTGGAGAATTGGGACGAGGGTTGGGAAGAAGGGTGGGAGGGGGAGTTTGATGTGTTTGTGGGGGAGGAGATGGCGGAGGGAGGGAAGAAAGCAAGCAGGTGGTGAAAGAGACAATGGGGAGCATTGAGGAGTGAGTGAAGGTGTGGGATGAGAGATGAGATGCCTCTGCCGTGCACTGAAATTTAGGGCGTGGTTGTGGGGTGGAGGGATGGGTGGAGGGTTGGGTGGAGGGATGGGTGGAGGGATGGGTGGATGGATGGGTGGATGGATGGGGAAGATTCAGTAAATAGTGCGACCCCCTGTGGCTTGAAGGTTCAGTACGCGGTTGTGGGGTGGATGGATGGATGGATGGATGGATGGATGGATGGATGGATGGATGGATGGATGGATGGATGGATGGATGGATGGATGGATGGATGGATGGATGGATGGATGGATGGATGGATGGATGGATGGATGGATGGATGGATGGATGGATGGATGGATGGATGGGGAAAATGGGTGGATTGGGTGGAGGGACGGGTGGAGGGACAGTGGGAAGGAGGGGTGCCAGGCCTGAGTTTGATGCGGTGATGGGGGAGGAGATGGCAGAGGGGAGAAGCAGGTGGTGAAGAGACCATGGGAAGCATTGAGGGGTGTGAAGGCATGGGATGAGGTGAGAATGAAATGTTGTGTCAATTTCTGTTAGTGCATGTTTGAAACGCGTTTCAGAACCAAAGGCCCGGAAAAAAGGGGCTCAGCCTGGGGAACTATGCGGGAGAATGTGGTGAGCCGTGTAAGGAGTTGGTCATCATGAAAATTACACAGATTGTGATTTAATATAAGGATTTGGAGCAGGGTTTAAAAAAACGGCGTCGTTTTCATTTTTAGGCCGTTTGCTACTGTACCGTATTTTCCTGCCGTTTTATTCGGAATAAAACGGTTGAAGATATCTGATTTTTTTTGGCAAAAAACATCGGCCGATTTATTAAAAAAAAAACCGGCCGAAGTAAAAAATACTGGCAAAATGCGCGGATCTGGCATTTCGCCAGCTGATATGCGCGGATCTGGCATTTTTCCTGCCAAAATGTGTTAGATCCCGTGTTTTGGTGGACGAAATGCACAGATCTGACATTTCGCCCACTAAAATGCGCGGATCTGGCATTTCCCCGCCAAAATGCGCGTGTCTCGCGTTTCGATGGACGGAATGCGTGGATCTGGGCAGACGTTTAGGCTTTCTACGAAACGTTTTTTTTTTCCCCTTTTTTATCGGAGTGTCCTGTTACAATTTCGGCGTATTTTTTCCAAAAAAAAAAAAAAAAAAAAAAAACGATTGAAAAAAAGGAATGCCGAAAATTTTCACCTTGATTTGGAGGGGTTAATGCTCTTACCAACGCCTTGTAACGGGCGTGCATGCCCCTGACCCATTCCCTCCTCTCCTCGGCCCAAGGACTGAAATTGCGTTGCGAGGGCTCGATCCGCGTTCTCCTACCAAAGGAGGAGGTTATTTGACCTTCTTACTTGGCACTGGGATGGTAATTCGAGCTCCGCAGGTGAACTTGGCTTGGCATGCATACTTACACACGGGTCGAACTATCTCAGTGCAAGTCAAGCCTTGCCGACCGACGAGGAAGCCGGTCACGGACGTGCACGTCCGTTACTAAGCGCTGGTAACTGCAAGGTTTCTTTGTAACCCGGTCGTCAGCTGATGCAAGCTGTGCGCATTACCTTGTCACCAGCTCAAAGTAGCAATAGCCCACCGCATCAACTTTTCGATCCGAAGTGTTCATGTCGCTATCATAGGGCCAGCTGAGTGCAAGCCGACCTCCAATCCACATGCTTCATCACCCTCTTCCGCCTCCCCTCCCTCCCCCCCTCCCCACCCCTTTTTCCCCCTCCCGCCACCAGCTCCGTGCGCCACCATGGCCTGGGATGCACCATCCTCCCCAGCAATGTGCTGCGCTCTTGCCTTGCCTCTGCTTTCACCCACCCCTCTCTTTTCCTGCCCCTCCACTTCTGTGCGCTCACCGTCTCCTGGGATGCGCCATCAGCCCGGGCCATCTGTGTGAGAGCTCGCATGGAAGGCAGCTCGTGGGTGGGATGGGGCATCAGTCGGTGCCATCATCTGTCCCTTGCTCCCTCCCCCCCTTCCCAGTTCCATGCGCTCACCGTCTCCTGGGATGCACCATCATCCCGTGCCGTCTGTGTGAGAGCTCGTTTAGGAGGCAGCTCGTGGGTGGGGGGAGGGCCGCGGTCGGATGGAAGATTCGCCACCTTCATCTCGCTGCTCGCTGCCTCGAGGTGGGTGCCTCACGGTTGGTGCGAGATGGTGCTCGTTGCTGTGGGTGAGTCATCAGTTGTAGCTATGCTTAAGCTTCGGCTTGCAGGGGAGGCAGCTCGTGGTGATTTTTTAGTGCACTCCAGACCTCGATGTTGCTCGTTGCTCTGGGCGAGTCATCATGGTTGTGTGACGTGTCATCGCTACGCTTAAACTGCAGCTCACATGGGAGGTAGCTCGTGGGTGAGGGGAGGGAAGGCCAAGGGCAGATGCGAGATTCACCACCTTTCAGTATAGCTGTCAACCCGTAGGAGGTCAGGCACGTGTATCAGGAGAGGCCCCATGGCTGGTGGAAGGTTCACTACCTTTCCTCTCCTTGTTCGTCGCGTTCATCTGCAACTTGTGATCAGGTGTAAGTGCGATCTCAAAGTAGTTTAAGATGATTCGTTGCACCGTGTACGGACATGTGTGTGTGCGCTAGTTCACATGTTGCATCGTGTACGGACATGTGTGTCTGCTAGTTCACATGTTGCATCGTGTACGGACATGTGTGTCTGCTAGTTCACATGTTGCATCGTGTACGGACATGTGTGTGCCTGCTAGTTCACATGTTGCATCGATTCCATCACGGGGGAGTTGCCGTTGTCATTGGCGTGTCAACAGCGAGGTGGTGGTTGTGATAGTGGGAAGGGAGGTCAGCATCCCCAAGCCTACGCTAAGTGGAGAAATACGCGTCCAGCGTATTATACGCAAGCGTACTATACGCTAGCGTATATACGCTGTACGCTTCATTATGGGATTGGATACGGTAGGAAATACGCTCTGGCGGGCAGGTATAAAAACAACTCGGGCAGGGGTAAAAAAACCTGTTTGGGGAGGGAAGAGGGGGGGTTCAGAGCACCAAATTCCCCCCACCAAATGTGGCATCATTTAGCATGGTAATAAATAAATAGTTCAAGCCACCAAGGGCATGTCAAGGGTTCCAAACTCCAACAACCAGCCAACCACCCATCTCAGGTAAGCCTCCCCCAAACCGCCCGCCTAACCCTCTCCTGCTCTGCTCTACAGGTACTCGTCCAGCAGCTCCTCATCTTCGCCCTCCTCATCCTCCTCCTCCCGATCCACCCTGTACCCCGCAGGGACGGGGGCGTCCGGGATGTTACCGGACACCACCCCAGCCCCCTCGTCGGCCATGTGCCAGTTGTGCACAACCTTCCAGTTGTGCGCAACGTAAACCAGATCCTTGCACTTTTCTGAACCCAGCCGGTTGCGTCGGGCGGTGTGGACAGTATCCCACACCGCCCAGTTGCGCTCGCAGCTGGATGCAGACCCCGGCTGAGTTAGCACTCGGCAAGCAAGGGCCATGAGCAAGGGGTGGTCAGTGCCGTGCCACTCCCACCACGCCTCCATGGAATAACTTCCTTCCTTCACCAACTTCCGGTCACTGATGGCCTCAGCCGTGCCGAAGCTGCCCCTCAACTTCAGAAAGGCGGCCAACCCTTCCTGCAGGAGGAGTGTGGCACGCTTGGGCAGGCCATCCCTCTGGGGAATCATCACCCCGCCATAGTGGCGGGCAATGAAAGCTTTGAACACATTGGTGCACTCCGTGTCCGGCCCAAAAATCCGCTCCTCCTGGTTGACCGGGTTAAGAATCCGCCCGACCACGTGCAGTGGGCAAGCCATACTCTCATCCCAACGCCGCTTCACAATCTCATTGACGCCCTTCTTGTCTCCCGCACTCAGCACCCCATCCCCCTCCTCCTTCAGCAGTTCTGCCACATTCACAGTGAGCTCAAGCATCAGCTCATAGATGCGGCCCATCATCCCTTTCGTTGCCGAATCCGTCGCCCTCATGGCCTTGAACGGGAGCAGGAGCAGCCTCTTGAAGAGCTCAGCCGCTGGCCACCAGTCCTTATCCATGATCTGGTCGTGGAATGTCTCTGCAGCTGCCTTCTTTGGGCCCACCGCCCACTCCGCCTTCCATGCATCGCAGAGCACCATGGTCACCAGCGTTGACCGCAACTCCACCAGGCGGGACACAGCAATGTGCTGCGTCCCAAACCTGGTCCCCGCCGGCCTTAGCATCTGCAACCCCTTCCCTCCGTCCACACCCCTGAGATACTGTCGGGTCCAATGGTGGCTGCGGGTGTAGTTGATGAGCTCGCTCGCCCGCCCCACTACCTCCTTGGCCCAAGCCTGCCGTCCCACATCCTCCATAAGGAGGTCGAGCACGTGCGTCGCACACGGCACATGCTCGATGCGCGGATTCTCTGCAATGAGGAGCCGGCAGGCGCTGTGGTAGTTGCTGCCGCCATCGGTGCAGAATGCCACTATGTTCTCGACCCCAACCTTTTGCAGGATGGGCCGGAGGAGCCGGGCGATGTATCCCCCGGTCTTTTTCTCCATCTTGCTGTCAATACTCTCGACGAACACTGCGCCGGTGTCATTGACCAGCATCACATTCGCCTGCGGCCTGCCACACTTGTCGGTCATCATGTCGCTGGCAATCGTCACGCCGTGGCGCTTCCAGCTCGACATGACGCCCGTCAATCCCTCGTCAATCCGCTTGCGGCATAGCTGCAAGCCGGCACCACCCACGTAGTCGCGCTTTGGAGGCACATAGCTGGTCCCCGCGCGCGCGATGGACCGGACGGCGTTGCGCCAAAGCGGGTGGTCGGCATGGCGCTCGGGAAGGCGGAGGCCGGCAAAGAGGAGGCAAATAGCCTCGTCCGCCGCCGCCTTGGCCGCTTGGGCGTCATCGGACAGGTAATCGGTGATCTTCCGCTTTCCCCGACCACTAACGGCGTCGAGGGCCGACTCCTCCGCCCTATGCGCCTCCTCCCTCGCAAGCACTTTTGCGGTTTGGAACGCGCGGACGGCAGCCTGCTCCTCCTTCCCTACCTCCTCGCATTTCCGAACCTCGCGCCTACGCATACCATCCCAACTAGTGATGTGCTGTGCGCAGCGGTAGGCCGTCCCGGTAAAGGATACGGGGCAGTACTTGCACCAATACTTTTGCTGCTTGCCGTGCTCCTTGTGCTTAAACTTGAAATGCTTAAAGATAGCGTGGGTGGAGTTCTCCAGGAGCTCGTCAGAGGAAGACGCAGCACAGGAGGTTCCCGCGTCGGTTCCGTGGGAACCAGGACTAGGTGGAGGGTTCAACATAGCAACAGTCGCTAAAAAACCAGCTAGCTAGTCGCGCTAGCTTGGAAGAAGAAATGACTGAAGTTAGCGCGCCAGTTTACTTGTACCCTGATTTCGTCGTAGGAGTGAACTGCGCTGAACCCTGCTGGAGTAGAGTAGAGAGGGAGAGGAAGGAGATTTCTTTGGGTGTTGTTTGGAAGTCGCAGATTGGGTGGGATGCTGTGTGGTTGGGAGGGGCGAAGGGGTTGGGTTGACGATTTGAAAAGCCAAATTTCGGTTTGCGACATGGCGAAATCCCTGTGGGGTTTCGTCATGTCGCAAATTTGTCGCATCGTTTTTTGCGTATTTCTTGCCGGGCTGCCCGCCAAGAAATACGCTAGCGTATTGCGTACTTAGCTAGCGTACAGCGTATTCGTATTATACGCTAGCGTATGTACGCAATACGCTAGGCTGCCCAAGCGTATTTCTCCACTTAGAGCCTACGAGCCAGGAATCACAGGAGGTTGTGCAAGGTGATCCTCTCTCTTCTCCTCTTTCCTCTCCCTTGTGCCAACAGCAAGGTGGTTGCCATGCGAGAGGGTCAGGATGTCAGCAGCAGCCCCAAGCCTATGAGCCAGGGGTCACAGGAGGTTGACCAGAAGATTGGGAGCGGCGGCACTAGGAGGCTGCTGGGGCAGCGACCCTCATGGCAGCAACGGGTTGATACGGAGCCGAATGATGATGCCGGTGCTGTCGCACCTGGCACTGTCGCACCTGGCACTGTCGCACCTGGCACTGTAGCACCTGGCACTGTTGCACCTGGCAGGGACACTGTGCCACCTGGGACTGGCACCGTAGTACCTGTGGACATGGGAGCGTTTCGTGCATGGACAGAGGATTTGAGCCGTCGGATCAAGGGCATCTCCATCTCTCACCGTCCAGTTGCATGGCTGCTTGCTGAGCCCGAGAAGGAAGATGCTCCTGTCGATGTTATCTTGGTGAGCTATGCTATGGTGTTTAGTCGCCTCAAGAATCGCCTTTATGTGGGAGTTTCTGCTATGTTATGCTCTTCCCCCACCATCCCCCCTACCCCACCTTCCTCAACCCCTCCTCACGTCGCTTCTCCCCGCATCCTCACACCACCTTTCTCCCCTCCCCCCCCCCACCTCTCCTCTCCCCTTCCCCGACCCACATCTTCCCAACTCGCATCCAAACTCTATCCCCCTCGCCTCACCTATCCCCCCCCCTCTCACCCCAGGTGCCCCTCTCCCAAACATCTGCATCTATGATAGCACAGTGGTCAGCCAATAACAGGGCGCCACCTGTGTGCCAGTTGCTGCTGGCAGCAAGTTCCTATGCAGAATTAGGACTCTTGGAGGCTGCAATCCAACATTTAGGGAATGTCAGAATGCAATTAGAGCAGTGTGCATTTGTAAGGCATGGAGAGGGTAGACACTGTACCTTCTACTCGGAACTATTCTGTACAAGATAGAAGCACACATAACAATGCTGTGGAAAGAAACGCATGTTAATATTAGCGCACCAGCTTGTTATAACATACGTCTTATCCCTTCTAAATGCGCGAATCAGCACTTCTTGTAACATGTTCTTCATGTGTAAGGAATTTCCTTCCTTACCGGGTTGTCTTGCATCGCGTACACCCGAACTCTCAGAAGACCAGGCTTGGTCCGACTCTGACGCAGCCCCAAGGCTTGCTCGAGGCGCCTCCGACCCTTTATGTAGGAAATGATAAAAGGACTTGAGGCATTTCCAGAGTCTCGCATGAGTGTACGAAATACGCAAAGACTACAACAGCGAGGACTGCCAAGTCAACACTACAGTACTACCGACAATTGACGTGGGTTGACGACAACCCGCAGAAGTTACGAAAGGGCAACGATCGCGGACCGTTGACCATGCAACCCGTCAGAATCGAAAGAGTCAAGAGTCAGCGTGACAGCAAGGACAAATAACCGTCCCAATATTACAGTACGAGTGGTTACCCGAGTCGCCTTATCGAGTCGCAAAAGGGAATGTACCCCTCGAAATGCAAAACTTTCTATGCGCTCACAGGCGAATCTCCGAAATGCACCTGTGCGCGGAGCTCCACGCCGAACAGCAAGACATGGACCTGTACGAAGAAAGACATGCGAACAAATCGAGTCAACAACTAGCGTTCTACAGGCACGGATGCAACAACAACCACAACCACAACCATCAGAAACGACACTCATCTCCGTATTGTCATCGATGCCACATGACGGGACAGTCACGCTCCAACTGTCTCAGGTAGCAGCAGCAGCAGCCGCAGTTCTCACAGTATCAACCCCAAGCGCCACGTCCGTCACCGAATCCGATCGCTTCAGCTCAGCACCGCCCATCAGCTCCGACGAACCGCTCTGCACAGGATGCAAGGAATGTCATCAGTGGTATGGCTCGAACGGATTTATGCGTACTTGACTCTCTACCACACATTGATCTTGACGAACAACTCCCCGCTCCGACACAAACCCAGCTCCAACCGGACCCGACTTACGCTGTAAGCGCTCGCGATGAACCGTCCGGCAGCGACACATGGTTTCTTGATAGCTGCTGTGGTCAGCACATGTGTTCTTCAACACGCTTTGTCCAGCAAGAGAAGACGTTGAGCCGTGAAGTCGTCATCACTATCGCCAACAACCAGAACATGCGCACAAGGAAGGAGGGTGTTGTTTAGTTACAAGCCAGCGAGACGAACGTGATACTACAAATGTCACGAGTACTCGTCGTCGACAACCTCGGCTACAACCTCTTAAGCGTCAGTCAGCTGATGTCCAAAGGAATTCACCTGGAGTACGACAGCTTCGACCGAGAGTTCCGACTCTACCTTGGGAAGGGCGGACTCTTCATCGGCAGAGCCATCCAAAAGCACGGAGTCTTCGTCTTGGACTTCGTTCCGGACCGCGGGACCGCTGACAGCGACGACGTCGTCTCCTTCGTGCCCTGGACGCACCCACCGGATCTTGACCCTGGGTTCGACTGCGATGGCTTCTGGTACTCCAACACCATACGTAAAGCAGAGAGCACCCGAGCATTAGCAATGATGCAAGACACAAAGGAACAAGAAATAGAGGAACGAGAAGCAGAACCGCAAGCGTCGACACACCGACTTTCTGGAAGTCCCATCGCGGGACCTTCGTTGGCACCACCCGTCGAAGAAGCTCCGCCTGAACCGGAACCCGTTGAAGAACCACCACCAACAGTCGCCGAGCAGCTGAAGGCACATCCGCGCGAGCAGTATCGGAGCGTCGCAACCGTCTCCGCCTTCTACGCCAACTCAGACCGGTATCGTCGATCTGTGGGACACAAGGCAAGCGAACAAACTTGGCATCAACGCTTAGGGCATCCTGGAAATTCCAGGTTATTCGACACGATTGGTGCGAATGTCTTGGACAAAGACGCGCTCCTACTAGTCGATGGCCGAGAACTTCACCAGCCGCGACGTACCTGCTTTTTCTGCCCGAAAGCAGATCTTCCTCGTCAACCGTTCCCATCGCACCACAACCCCAGCGCACCAGAGTACACTCCACTCGAGAAATTCTACAGCGATATACACTACATCCCGCGAGAAGTCGGCCGGGCCGACCTCAACTACGTAATTACCTTCGTCGATGCCCCAATAAGATACACTTGGCATCTTAACTTACCGTCACATGACCTCGCCTTCTCTGCCTTTGTCGCATGGCTTGCCGCAGCAAAACGGGAGGGAGATATTAAGCTGAAATGCTTTCTGTCAGACGGGACGATGGAGTACCAAACACAACGATTCAAGGACTACCTTGTTGAAAGGGGAATCAAGAGGCTCGTCACCCTCCCCTACGCTCACCAACAGAACGGCCTAGCAGAGAGGATGAACCGGATGCTCCACAACACCATGAGGAAGCTGCTGACAGGGATGCGACCGCCCAATTCGCAGTGGCCTGAGGCGATGAATCACACGGTCATGCTGCAGAATCTTCTGTCATCAAGCTTCCTACCAAACAACGCATCACCACATCTGCTGTGGACAGGGAAGCAGGGAAGCACAAAACTGTTACGAGTGTTCGGTTGCATGGTACAGTACCGTCCGCACACTGCACGCACCGGCCGATTTTTGCAACGGGCAAGATGGGGTCTGCACCTCGGTGTGGAAAAACATTACAAGGCCTTGAAAATCTTCGACGTGGACGATAAGGAAACAGTATCGGCACGTGACGTGATTTTCTACAAGAACCTCACACTCAACCATTACTTGGAGAACATCGCAGCCAATCGAGATCCCTCTGGTGGCTTCGCTGGAGCACGCGCGTTCGCCTCAACCGATGAAGAAGCTGACCTAGAGGAACAAAACGTCCCCGAATCGTCAGCAGCTGCAGGACCACTTCCCCACTGCTCCATCGATATGCAATTGGACGACGACAATCCTCGCGAAAGTGCGAAGCCTACTACCACTTCGCCGAAACTGGTTATGTAACCCCTCATATCGTCGACACAATTGTTTCAGAGCAAGTAGGACCAGATTTTCATACCTGATCCTGAAGTACGCGACATAGCAGCTTATCGCGAGGATCTGACACTCCCCCGCTACACCAAGACTGGCCTTCAAATCCTCGGACTGGTAGCAGCCGTGCATCCTCCGTCGCCACCGCCAGTCGAGGAGCCGAAGACTGTCAAGCGTGCACTGCAAGGGCCACACTGGGAGAAATGGAGGGAGGCAATGGACAGAGAATTAGCGGCACTACACGAACGCAATACCTAGAAGCTGATCCCGATCTCCCAAACCCAGGGAAAACAATCCTGCCAGGAAAATGGGTCTTCCGAGTAAAGACAAAGGGAGATGGGACCATCGATCGCTTCAAAGCACGATGGGTCATTCGTGGATTTGACCAGCAGTACGGCAGCAACTACTTGGAGACTTTTGCTCCCGACAGCCGCCATACTTCCCTTCGAATCCTCCTCGCCGTTGCCGCCACTCATCGCCTTCCTCTGCGACAAATCGACGTCGCCACCACATTCCTCTACGCCGAGGTCGACGCCAATATCTTCGTCGAGCAACCCCACGCCAACGTTGATGACCCAACAAAGGTCTACCAACTGCTCAAATCCCTCTACGGGATCAAGCAGGCCCCGAGCTTGTAGCAGCAGTACCTACATCGAATCCTCACCGACATGGGCTTTGCCCAGCTACCGCACGACCAGGGCATGTACCTCCTGTCCCGCAGTGGCGACTATGTCGTGTTAATCGTCTACGTGGACGATCTACTCTACGTCGGTTCTGCTACCTCCATCACCGTCTGGTTCGAGGGCGAGCTGGATCTCCAGCTCACGATCACGGTGTTGCTGACCGTGACGCAGTACCTCGGCCTCAACGTCACCGACTGCCCCGATACCATCCATCTCTCGGCCTCGAAGTACGCCGACACCATCGCTCGCAGATTCGATCTATCTCCGCTACCTCTCACTACTTCGTATGCCTACGCTCGCCAGCACCCGCATCGACTGTCTCACTACTCGCAAAAGCCTGGATCGAGGAGTATCAGCAGAAACTAGGATGTCTGCTCTTCGCCGCCTTTACTTGCCGTCCCGATCTCTCCTACGCCACTAGCCAGCTCGCTACCTACCTTAAGCGACCTGGAGGGGGGAATCTGTAGGAACTCGATCGCGAGCTCCACTACTTCGTCTCGACCCCGACGATCGGCTTGACTTACCACAAAAACGCCGCTACCAAGACTGAACTTATCCGCTACGTCAATGCCGATCACGCCGGCGACAAGGACAACCGCCGCTCACGCACGGGCTACATCTACTGTCTGAAACCTATCGGTACTATTTCCTGGCACTCGGGAAAGCATGAACTAATCGCTCTCTCATCTGCTGAAGCAGAATATATCGCCCTCTGCATAGCCACGAAGGAAGGACTGTACCTACGCGAGCTGCTCGAAGAAGCGAAGATTACCGAGTTACCAAGCTTCTCTCTTTTCTGCGACAACCAATCGGTAATCAGAATCGCCAACAAAAATGGATTCGCGAACAGGACGAAGCACATCTCGCTTCGTTACTTCTTCGTCTAGGACGAGATCGAGCAGGGCCGTCTCCAATTGGTCTACTGCCCCACCACTGAAATGGCAGCCGACTACTTGACCAAGAAGCTCATGAAGGCCAAGTTCCAGTACTGCATGCTGCTGATTGGACTGCAACACGTCAGCGACCTTGACAACATCAACACTCCAGAAATGAAGGAGGGTGTTGGAAATTATAAAAGGACTTAAGGCATTTCCGGAGTCTCACGTGAGTGTATGAAATACGCGAAGACTACAAAAGCGAGGACTGCCGAGCCAACATTACAGTACTACCGACAATTGACGTGGGTTGATGACAACCCACGGTCGTAGACCGTTACCGTGCAACCCAATAGTCAGAATCGCAAGAGTCGAGAGTCAGCGCGATAGCAAGGACAAATAACCGTCCCGATATTACAGTACGGGTGGTTACCCGAGTCGCCTTATCGAGTCGCAAAAGGGAATGTACCCCTCAAAGTGCAAAACAGTTAGACTCTTCA